AGATGAAATTCTTAAAGATTTTATTTATTTATTTGATTTTAGTCAAGTTAATTCTTTATATAAAAAAATTTTTCATTGAAAATTTTCTTTTTCTTTGTTTCTTTTAGTTAATCATGGAACAAAACCAAAATATTGAATTATCATAAAAATTTGATCAATTATATTTATATTCAATATTAAATAAATCAAAATTATTATCAAAAGAACTTTTGAATAAATATCATTTATCTGATACTTCTCTATCATGGAGATTTTTTTATACTTCTCCAAAATTATTTAATATATATATCATCTCTAGTTGAATATGAAAGAAGATTAATTAATACTTATATTGATGATAATATTACTTTAGTATTATATATTTATAAAGATACTTTTCATGAATCTCAGCAAACTAATCAAAATCAATCACAGATTATTTTTCAAATTCAACCAGATATTTCACATTATCAAAAATACAAGATTCTTTTTACAAATTTCACTAACATAAACCTAGGAAAATGCAGGAAAAATTTGATAATCATACAAAACAAAACATAAAAATAACCTGATTGTGCAGCGTTTGAGCTGACAAATCTAGCTGTCTGTAAATGTTACTGTGAAGTCTTAAATGATGAGAACTTATGCTCCTTTCAAGTTTGACCATCACCATAAGATTTCTACTTGTTGTCAGCTAAGAAGGTAAATGTTTCTTCTGCGATGAAGTAACTAATCAATCTCGAAAGCCTCATATCTAAGAATATAAAATGAATATATTGCCAAAATTCTAGTTCTAGCAGAGTACATGATGGATTACAAGAATATGCATAGTTTGTTTGGAGAGTTAAAAGTAACTATTCTTTGAGTGACTTCCGCTGATTTTTGTAAGATTAATTGCTTTTCTAGTGAAAGCAAGTGATCTATTTGGCATCAGCATTAAAATCCAAGTCGATCTATATGTACTTCAATTTGTTCGAACAGTTGTTATTTTCATCGAAAAATTCATCCGTAGTTTCCTTAAGAGTTCAGTCAAAAAATGAAATACATCAGAATATGATTTGGACAGTTGGAAACAAGTTCTGATCTTGTGAAATGATTATCGAACACAAAATACAGATGACTATAAATTGAGAATGACGCCATGGTTGACTTCATTTTTTGACTATATTCTTAGGAGGATCACAGATGAATTGTCCCACAAAAATAAAAGTTGTCCAATAATTAATCTTACAAAATCGACAAATATTAATGAAAGAATGATCATCTTTACCTATCCTAATACATTATACATGCTCTCGTAGCTCATGGTGTACTATACTAACAGTGTGATTTTAATGATATATTCATTTCTATATTCTGTGATATTAGGCTCTCAACGTTGACTAGTGGCAGGACATGCATCCATTTGAATTGCTTTAGCGTTACTTGCTAGCTCATTTTCGGCTCAACGAAAGCTCATTTATATGATGTTTTGGTGCTAAAATGCAGGTTAAGCGGTACTCAATTCATCACACCATGAGTGAGCTCATTGACATGTGACTCAGTCTTTTTAGTTGATAACAAGAAACAATCTTATAGTGATAGTCAAGCTAGAAAGGAGCAGAAATACTCATAATTTAAGATGTCGAGGTAACATATATACATTATTAGATTTGTTAGCTCAAGCGCTACAAAAGCAAATCACTTTTAGGTTTCTTTTCTAAGAAAAAAGTGAAGCAGATCAAAATAGATTATGTTGCGTTCCGTCGTTTTCAAAAATAATTGCTATCGTTTTTGTTTGACTATCGAATTCTTGATAGAGAATCCATGAAATCTCCTCGTAACTCGATTGAATAGGAGTTCATGACAACATTCGATATGTATTATAGACTTAAATCTAGTCTTTTTATTCTACTCATGATATTGAAAAAGAAACATGTCATTGATTCATAAAAACAGAAGAAACGGTCTTTTTATTAAATTATCTCGACCTCATTATCATCATCAATATTCAAATGAAATTCCTTATGTCTATTCCATCTATATCAAAATTGAGAAAACTTCTATTTTAATTGAGTCTACCTTTCGAGTATTAAAAATATCAATCGAATTTGTGAGATTACAGTTGATGTCATTTATTCATTAAAACTAATATTCGGTTTTACCAGTTGTTTAGAAATAAGAAAAAAAAATGTTGATATTTTATTTTAGAATTATTTAATGCCTATCTTGACTTGAAGTTATATTCAATTTGAAGAAAATTTCTTTTTGATATTGATTATTTTTTAACAATCAGTAACGATCGAATTCAGATTTATCAAAATGATCCAAGAAATGCATTTATTGTTTTTATGTATCATATTAATCTAGAAAATAAAATAATTAGTATTGATTTAACACGATTCGATCGAAATATTTTATGAAATCGAAATCATCGAAAAATAGACATGAATTTTTTTATTTTGATATATTTGTTTTATCTAACGATCAACAAATATCTTCAAGTTATTAGGGTGTGGATGTGGACCTGAATGTAGAATTTGTCTTCAACACAACCCCACACCCACATCCTTATTCTAGAATTTTATTCTTTCATTGGTGCCGTATATGACTAGTTTTCATATTTTTCATTAATGGCACGTTGGTTGGTTTTGATGTCAAAAATAAAAAATATTCTTAATACGAGTTATATTCGATTCGTGTGCTCATTGATACTACGAGACCAAATTCAATTAACTAGTTGTGGTCATCGACAATATCAATCATGTTTCTATTCTCAACATCAGTAAATTTCATTATTCGATTAATCTGATATTTTTTATTATCATTTTAAGAATCGAAATCAAGTGTCAACAATATTTAACAGAAATATCGAATAGTCAAGTAAAATACTTATTTTATGTCAGCAGAATATAAATGTTAGCTGATTTAGGTGATGATTGATCGAGGTTTTAAAAACGACATGAAATCACTACCAACTGAATGTTTCTTTGTATAACTGGATTGGTGTTCTAAAAAATTATCAAGTAACACATTCTATATTCATCTTATTTTTGAACGTTAGACTCTTTTCTCTAAAAGATACATCTTCATCAAAATCCAAAATGTAAATATTGTCATGAACAATTTGATTCAATTGAAAATCTTAATGAACATAAAATATCGAAATGTGAAAAAATGTTTGTTGAAAGACTTTGATTGTTATGAACAAGTATAGACAGTAACTAGTTAACACCGATTTATTTGAAAGTAATTATGTATCTTCTATAGATTCATCATTGTAATTTATCAAACCACTATTGGAGTGAACAAAACCTAAATTCATTACTGAAAACTTTTCATCAACTTGAATTACAACTAAAAAGTGTAAGGAAATCATCGACCCAAATGGACACTTATCCTTCTCAATCAACAACACTTGCAGCTGTTGATATTAATACAGTTCGTTTTCAAGAATTAGGTGAAATACTCGACATTCTGTCATGTAAGTTAAATATATTGAATAGTGATGAACAAGAACAACTTAATAATAAATTATTTCAATGTCGAGCAAAATCTCCAACATTGACATTAGATTTTTTACAATCTAAATTG